ATCACAATGGTGACAGCAGAGCTGACATATATAGGCTCCAGTACATTGTGTACCACAACATTTGGCTGTTACTTTTCCCACATGAGTCAGTCCCTTTGGAGTATTAAATTATGAACTGTTGTGGACAAGGAATTTAGGGTTCTTTCAGACACCCAAAAGAGAATGTGGTACAGTCCTGGACATGATTTCATGCAGAATCCATGTGAGGGATCATTTCTGTTCATGGGAAACCATGTATTTCAGATGAACTATATGTAAACAATTTGACTGCCACATACGTTCTGAGGCAAAGTGCGCAAGTTGCATTCAGGGCTATACCACACAGTTTCTGAAATGTTTTGAATCCGGTCTCCAAAAGTCTGGGGTTTATCTATGATAGATGCAATTGTAATCCTGTTTCTTAAAATAGGGGAACATAAATCACTGTCACTTATGGTTGTTTCCATAACCCAGGCTTATTACTCATATCTTAAAAGTCTCTTTCTTTTTCTTGTCTTCCTGCAGCATATGATCAGTGAAGGACTGACTGCTGATCAGGGGGGAGTTTATAATGGCAAGAGATTAATAAACCTTATGTTTAAATCCCAACAGACTTAATCCAATAACTAGTTTTCAGCCAAACCAATAATTTCTTTGATGTCAGATTTTCCTAGACTTGGTGTCCTTGCATAAGCTGTGAATTTTGTATTTTTAACACTGCCTTTTTGCTTTATCCAGCTGTCAACTTACTATATAAATCCTAGGAAAAAGTTATTTATGCCTATTTATGGAGGAAAATACATTTTTTAAAAAGCAGGAGCATTCATAAAAGTGTAAGAAACTCACAGTTCCACTATTATGGCAGAACAATACCCACACCCTAATGGTTATGCTTTATCTGAGCCATCTATATTCCACCACAAAAACAAGTTCAAGTGAAAAACAAGTTCAAGATGACCTGCTAAATAATAATTTAAAGACCCCATAACCTGTGCCCCTCCAGATGTTATTGGACTGCAACCCCTGTCATCCCTGACCATTGGTCTGTTTCTATCCATAACAACTAAGGAGGAAGGGAGGGAGCCAACTGTTCTTTATGGGACCATAATCTAGGAAAGCTACAAAGGATCTCCTCCCTTTCCACTCAGATATGATTCTACCCTAAGTGAAACAGAGAGAGGCACCTCTCGGGATCTTAGGTCTAACAGGCAGAAGCAGAAGTGGCTGGCAAGGTGGGGCTTCATTGCTCTCCTGGCTTCCCAACACAGGCAGTCATTGGTGCTAACTAAGAGGGAGAAGGGGTGTGTGGGGAGCTCCCTGTGGCACAGGGCTGGGCTACCCTTGGAGTGGAGTGAATTAGCCACCTAAGGCAATGGAATGTTAGGATATAGTTCCGTTCCACCTTTAGAACAGGCATGTGGAGTTGCTGTATGTCGCATGTCTATTTACTTCCAGCACAGTCTGCTGGGAACTTCCATTGTATGTAGCTTTTGCCTATGCTGTTTGCTTGGACACGAAGGGAAGCAGGCATGTTTTTCTTTTGTCCTGATGATGAATAAATGCTTGTAAATATGGTTGCATATGCCTCTGTCCGCTACTTCCGTTGCAAAGAGTTCTTATCTCTGCTGGCTTGCGTGCTCAGTCTCTAAAGGTTTCTGAGGCTTGAGTCACAGTTTTGATGCTGTTCCCAGAACTGGAGTTCGCCCAGCTGCCGGCCGGTGGGCTGGAGCCATCTGGGGGCCTGCCAATTGCCCCCATCTCCCAGGACGCATCCCAACATGGAAGTCCCTAAGGTGGCACTCTGAAGGTGGGTGGAAGGTGGGTGGAGCAGAGGCTGGGCAGTGTGGCAGACTGGGGTGGCACTTCCCGTTTTGCCGCTTGAGGCAAAACAGAACATGTGCCCCTGCTACCATGTGGTGACAGAGCCAAACCAGTGCCCCTGCTGGACTGCACGGTCTGTACCTTGCCCCTTCTGTCTCAGTAAGTACCTGTGACCTGCTGTGCTGGAAAGCCGGGAGAGTGGTGGAGTCCCGCCTGCGCTGCCTCACTACTGAACAGAAGGTACTTTATATATACTTCAACACTCACATGGCATCTGTTGTATCAGCCATGCAGCTTCACTTATTGTTTAACACTTTAGTTCTAATGCTGTTGGCTTCAACTCCCTCCACCCTCCAGTAAGGCTTTGTTACACTGTCATACATTTGGCTTGAATTTTATTTCTAATTAAAATGAAATATTTCGGTATTCCTTAATGCTGCACAGGGTTGCGGGAGAATTTCAATCCATGCTGTCAATTTAATGCTTACATCTAATTATTATCCCCCAGTTCAACCAAGAGCTGAAGCTTACCATGGGACAATCTTTCGTATTGGGGGTGGGGATCCAGCTGAGGCACCTCCAAGGCCTACCAGCATGCAGTCTGTTAAATAGCCTGCAGTTTATCTAAACTTTTATTGCTATATTCATAGATAATAGGATTATTGTCACCACTTTAAGTATGGTGAATGGAAGAAGAAACTATGCGGTTGTGGCTGAAACTAAATTTGCACTGTGTTGAGATGGGCACATCTTGGAAGAGTTTATTAATGCGGGCAAAATTAGTCCTGCCTGATGTCTGAAATATGTGCCCAAAATAAAAGGAGCACAACCCCCTCCCCAAACCCAGGGGTTTTTCAACTTGAGTGTCACAATCACTTGTGGCCAAATTTCCAGGGGCGCCATATCAGTGGCAAGGGTGTGCTGCCCATCCATGACTCCAAAGCCTCCTCCGAGCTGTCAAAACAAAGGGGGAAGGGGAGAAGGCCACCAGCAAAGTGGCATGGCTCCGCCCCTTCCCCCGATGGCTCGGGGTAGGCTTGGGAGTTGTGGGCGGGTGGCACGCCAAATGTCACCTCCCTCAGTGAGGACACCCAGGGCGGACCGCCCCCACCACCCCCTTCCTCCGCCCCTGCTGTCAAGATGGCTGAGTGAACGTCAAATGGGATGGGGCCTGGGCTGTGATCTCCTATGTGCTCTCTCTAGATTGGGCTAAAGAGGTCTAGTATGAAATTTGCTTACATTTGCTCATCTATCTGTAAAGGAGAAGAATAGTTCTGACTCTGCTCCACACAACTGGATAAGAGAAGATGCGTAGCAGGGTCAGCAAATATTCAGCACCTTTACCTTCATCCTTCTACATACGTTTCCTCTGACTACATCTTCTTTTGCTCTCTGTGCACTGGTATACATGCTGGGTTTCTCATTCTGTTAAATACCACATGTATACTAATAGGATATGGAGAACTATCAAAGAAGGGTTTCTAATATAGTCTTCCAAGTTTCAGTGGTAGCTGTCAGACAGATATGTAAGTTCACTCCTGTTTCTTGATGTACTCAGATACTTCCATGCATCCCTTCACCAAAGTGGTCCTAGGGCAATTTACATCAGAGTAAGGGAATACAAAACATAATGCAAATTTAAAAAGAAATCTCATAAATACATAAATTAGGCTTTCCTGACATGTCCTGGTTTTCGCGTGTAAAAAAAGCGTCAGAGAGGAATTTTGCAAAATGTCAGGGAAAACCCAGATGAATGGTAACGAGATGGAAAAAGCAGCAGAAACAGCTCCAAAATGTTCACCCCCCAAAAAGTTCAACTTTGGGGTGTCAGGATTTTACTTTTTGAAATATGGCAATTCTACATAAATAACATAATGAGTAGCATCAAAACTCAGAAGTAATTCTACGCACCAGCCTCTGAAAGCTTGACAGAAAAGTAGTTGGGTTTTTTTTAACCTGATGCCTAAACAGGTATAAATATGTAGCTCTGCTGGTTATTTCTCTAGCTGCAATCAGCCTTTATTTGATTGCCTTATAAAGAGACACTATTATCAGGTGGGCTGGAATATTTCCTCTGGTCAGATTTATTCTATGAGTGCAACTTGTGTGTATGCTGTATTTTGTGCCTTTGGCTTTAACCTGTTTAAGAGATACTGCCCTTTCCTTGCAGCAACCTCATTTGAAACCAAGTCACAGATCTGGTATAGCAAGAAGGATTATCTATGATCCATATGTATTTCATCTGCCCTGCTGCCAATCACCAGTAGAAGTGCCTGTTTACCCATGAGACAGTTTCTCACAGGATTTTTTGTATTTTGTAAAATGTATATAAAGAGCCTCGGCTGAGATACTAGCTGATAGCTGAACTGGGTATATCTGCCACCGTTATCAACAACAACAAAAAATTGCCAGTTTGTCCCCTGGAATGTGTGATATACCATCCACTATATCCTACCACTATATGTACTCAGATTGAATGAGACACATGTTCTACAGAGATTTACTCTGCTGCAGTCACAAGATAGGTATCAATCTGTGTATTATACTGCTTGAACTAGCAAATATATATACTTCACTCTTCTGTACCATCCGGAGCACTATGGTCAATTTAGTACTTTGGCCTGGACAACTGCTCTGCCACAACCTCACCAACACCCCACCCCAAATCTATCTGGGGAAGCAACAGCGATGTCAAGTGGGGTAGCTCTGCCTCACCACTGTTTGCTAGTCAGGCTGTTCCTCAGATAAGAGTGTTTGCAGCCATATCTCTCTTGGCTACATGTATGAGCAGAATGAATGAACAGCCACATAATGAATAATCACAGATAAGAACATGGACTCTCAGTTCTTTTAGCTCTCTTAAGGAGTGCTATTATTCCTCTCTTGCATTAGTTCTGGCGGCACAGTCCAACTTTTGATATTGCTTTCACTCTGGAGCTCCCTAGTTGAATCATTAGTGCCAGCTAAGATAGCAGCGATCAAACCTGTGTGTATTTGTGAAGGAGGCATATTTTTTTTATTATTATTTTTTTAAATGATATTTATTAAAGTTTCACAAAAATACAGAAAACAAAGAAAAAAGTGTAAATTACAGCAAAAAAGCAAAAAGTAAGACATACATACAAAATAAAACAGTTAAAAACACAAGAATGTTCCATATCCTATCTTCCTTACTCTTATTTCCCCAGACCTCCTCATACCTCCCTTCTTTGTATTCCAATTCAGTTTGTTGGTTCAGCAAATCCTTACCATTAATCTTTTACCCAATTGTTAACCTTTTTTTTTCCATGTCTCTTAAAGCATTACAGCTAAAAACCTCTTAATTTCTATCCAGCATCCTTCTAAAGTTCCTTAATTTTACAATATTTCTGTAAATAGTCCTTAAATTTTTTCCAGTCTTCTTTCACCGACTCTTCTCCCTGGTCTCGGATTCTGCCAGTCATTTCCGCCAATTCCAGTGAAGGAGGCATATTTTCTCCCACTCTAGCAGCTGCCAGATGTGTGGCTACAGGATAAGAACTCAGCTGCTCCTCAAAACAACTATAGATTGAAATCTGTAGATGTATCTATAGCAAGCAACTGTGCTAGGAGTCTTCTCTTAGCTCATCTCCCTTTCTTTGTCTCCTCTCTCTAGCCTAGATTGTCAGCTGTCCCCGGCGTCCGTCACTTGGCCTTCACAGTTCATCTGTAGCTCCCCACCCTCTACTCTCTGGGTTCTTTCTTCCACCTCTGCTCTCTTCCTTCTTGCAGCGATGGCTGCAGTTTAAATGCGGCCACAATAATGTTCAGCCCCATCCCCTCCAGCCTCTCCAATTCAGCCCCCGCCCCCAGCACAGCTTCCTGGACTTGTGCAAGCCCCATCCAATCACCAATCAACCATTTAAGAGCGTTATTTCTATAGCAGCACTATCACTAGTCATAGTGCTTGACAGATTACAAGCGGACAGGTCCGTGTCTCAGTGAGTTTACAATAAATAAAAAACAAACAAAGGACAACAGTAGCAAAAGCAGAGGGCAATGGACACAGCGGTCAACTGAGAAGCAAAAGGTTTTTCTTTCAGGCCACAATCCTATACTTACCTAGACTACTGCTGAAATCAACATGGCTTCCTTCTGAGTAAAATGTAATATTGCACTGTCAATTGCAGACATTTCATCTTGTATCCTTGCTGTTGCCGAGGAAGGCGTTCTGATGAACATAAACTAAGAAATAGAAGTTTTGAGCAGCAATCATTGCCATGTAGTTTTGTGAGTAGCACATAGTTTAGTAAAATTCATTTGCAGAATGGTATTATCTCCAACTTTCCTTCTGCAGCACACAGAAGCTCCAGCTGCCTTTATTTAACAGAGACAGTTCTTATTTTCTGTAGCCTGTGGGGAGATGTTGGGTGTGCCTTTAAAAAGATTTGCTGGTGCGAATCGATAATTTGTCTTCAAGTCTTTCTGCAGTTTTATTCATTCATTTTATTCATAAAATGGACTATGTTCATCCCTGACAATTGATCAGGGGCTCATGGCATTTGGAGCCCAGCAAGATCTGGTCCTCCATCCGTGTCCTTGAAGTTAAATTTCCATGTTGTTGTTGGTAGTAGATGCTCCTTTTTCTGGAAGATGTGGTTGCAGCTTGTTTCTATCACATGTAAATGGTGCTCCCACCCTTAGTAGGGGTGAATTTGCTCTACTCTCCAACCCTTACCTGAAAGAGACTCAACTGGAATTCCCTAGGGGAGTGGGGAAGGAGGTCACCTTAAATTATATACCAGGGTATAGGTGACCAATCATGAGTGGTCCAATCATCCTCTTTCCTTCCATTTTGTTGTTGGTACTGGATGCATCCTTCTTATTCTAAGATGTGGTGATGATGGATGCAACTTGTTCTAGCACACACCAATGGAAATGAATGCACATGAACACTCAGGTACCACACAATACATAGCTTTTCATTTTGTATACTGAGGACTCTCATTTTCACTCTGTTGATGGGAGGCCTGTTTTGTACTATGGCCCACAGGCTTCAGAACAGAACTATTTGCTACATGTATAAGATGTCAGGGACGGGGAAACTTCAGCCCTCCAGATATTGTTGAATTACAACTCCCATAATCTCTGATGATCATGCTGGCTGGGGCTCATAGAAGTTGGGGTCCAACAGCTTCTAAAGGACCACACTCCTGCATTGCATATTAAAAAGCATGCAAGTAATTATCCTTCTATGAGTGCAACTTAGGAAATATGATTGCTGAAACTCAATATACTGTACCGGGTAATAAATTATGAAAACTGGAAAACATTGGTTGTTTTCTGAGCAGGCTTGAGGCAAATGTTTAAAATACAAAGCATATGCCAGATGTTTTTAGATTCACTATGTCACTATTAGGTAGGGATATACTGGATATCGTTTTGTTAAAATGAAGAAGACAATACACTCGGTATTTCTAAGATCCCTACAGGCGAAAGTGTCATCTACTTGTTCGCTTTTGCTCACTATTGGAAAAAAATGAAACATCTGCCTCTTTTCAACTAAAAAAAGATTACATTACTTGTTGGGAGTGATAAAAAAAGGAAAAGGGAGAAAAATCTACTTTACATATTGCAGAATTCAGCAAACACAGGACAACGTAGGCATTGCATATAAGGAGCTTACACTGTACATTCTTTATATTTATCTCAAGGTCTTCAGACAATAACTTCAGGATCAATCTATTCTAGGACGCTATCATCAGTTCATCTGAAAGACTTTGGAAATTCAATATGAATGCTCAGCCCCTGCATTTATTCGGATGGCACATTTCTCTGCAGACTGTTGTGGAGTGGGAGTTTGCTCATCCCCTCCATCTTGTACTTCAAATACAGGTACTCAGTGTTTATTTTCAGCAGATCACTTGAGTGGGTAGCAGAATCAAAAGGTATGCAGCCTTTCCTCATAAACAACTTGTGGTACAGGGAAGAGAGAAAGAGAGGGGCAGTCTGGCATTTCTTTTGACTGATAGTTCATTGTTGATTGCAACATCCTTCGTCCTTCAACATAAGTAGCTCTACTTGGATGGCTGAATTCAGCCTTGTACTTTCCCTTACCAGCAGAACCCTATGTGCTTCTGAAGTTTCAGATGTTCTTTTTCTCCCCTGTTTACCTTTCACAATAGTTTCCTTCCAATTTATTATTTCTTTTCCCCTGTCTGCCCTCTCATCTCCTCCCCCCTCCTTTTTAATGCTGTTGACATTGCTCCATCTGCTTTAAGGGTCTGACAGGGCGACGTCTGGGCTACCAAAGCAGCTGCAGAAATCCATCTACTGGGTGATTAGTTCTCCTCACATTACGAAAGCAACTGGAGTCACAGAGACACGACGAGACAGAAAGGCACACAATTCAGAAAGAAGACTAATAGGTCTCTCACTCAAGGGTTCTGAAGGAGATTGCATTTCAAAAATAAACACAAGAAATAGCCTAGTCAAAACTAACCAGGCTTGTAATCCTTTATTCAGATGGGTGAAACTCAGTTTTGTTCAGATTCGTCTAATTTCTGGCAATATCTTCCACCTATGCTTAATCCATCCATTCTTATTAATTGAAGGGCACTGTGTGTGACACTGGTAAGGGCCAAGGTGCCATTGTTTCCTGTCCTTCATGTTGTCTAACCATTACAGAAGGAAGCCTTGCATGAGTTCGATATACAGTTGTACTTTGGATCCCAAACACCCTGGAACTCGGACATTTTGGCTCCCAAATGCCGCAAACCCGGAAGTGATTGTTCCAGTTTGCGAAAGTTCTTTTGGAACCTGAATGTCTGACAGGGCTTCTACAGTTTCTGATAGGCTGCAGGAGCTTCCTGCAGCCAATCAGAAGCCACAATTTGGTATTTGAACGTTTTGGAAGTCGAATGGACTTCCGGAATGGATTCCGTTCGACTTCCAAAGTATGACTGTAGAGCTTTGTCATGAGTCCTGAGGTGTTGGCAGGCTCAGCTGTGGACTGGCAAGCAGAGATGAATGAGGAATGGGGAGAGGAAGATGAAATAGGTGAGGGCTGAGACTGGAGAACAGAGGCTGGAGAATGTGGGTACACAGACTGTTGGATGTTCATTTGTAAATAGCTGAAAGTGCAACTATTTGCCAATGCAGATACACTGATTGCAGCATGTGAACACTCACTTTAGCATACCTGGTAAAGGGCAGTTGGAATGGGTGAAAGAATGGGCTCAGTTACATGTCTTGGAAAGGATAGTGTCAGGCATAAAGGTAAAGGTAAAGGTACCCCTGCCCGTACGGGCCAGTCTTGACAGACTCTAGGGTTGTGCGCCCATCTCACTCAAGAGGCCGGGGGCCAGCGCTGTCCGGAGACACTTCCGGGTCACGTGGCCAGCGTGACAAGCTGCATCTGGCGAGCCAGCGCAGCACACGGAAACGCCGTTTACCTTCCCGCCAGTAAGCGGTCCCTATTTATCTACTTGCACCCGGGGGTGCTTTCGAACTGCTAGGTTGGTAGGCGCTGGGACCGAGCAGCGGGAGCGCACCCCGCCGCGGGGATTCGAACCGCCAACCTTTCGATCAGCAAGCCCTAGGCACTGAGGCTTTTACCCACAGCACCACCCGCGTCCCTAGTGTCAGGCATAGAACCTCCCTAACTTTTTCCCATACTCCAAGATCTATCACTGAATAATTCCCACCTCCATTTCTAAGTTAGTAACACCAGCTCCTGCTTCTCAAAGGAAGCATTTGGCTCTCCACATTCTTGAGTGTTCTCAGGAATTCTGTTTTTTGATCAGGAACTACCATTGGAATATCTGTATTTATGGCTTGCAAAAGCTCTACATGTATTGTGCAGCCCTCGCAATATCTGCACAGAAGTTTGTTCTGTTGAGTTCAATAGGGTTTGCTCCTATGTAAGTGGAGTTAGGATTGGAGTCTTGGTACCTTTGTTATGGCCAGACTCATCCTCATTAACTGAGCAGCTGTTGCCTCCTTTCTGTATGTGCAACACACACTGGCCAATCAGAGCTGAATAGCAAAAAAGAGAGAGAGAGCTCTTTTTCTAAAAGAGCTGAAATGCTGAGGCTGCAGTGTCTTTTGTTTGTCGAAACAGATTGTGTTTGAAAGGCCATCTGTTTGGAAGGATTAAAAAGTAAGAGAAGTAGCATAAAATAAGAATTATTGAAAATGGTTGTTGTGGCATTTTGTTTAACTGTTGAAATATGTATAACCCGCCCTCTGTCTAAAGATTTCATGGGTGGGGTACATCAGTTTTTAAAACAATAAATCCAGCTACAAGTCAGGAGCAGATACATAATCCTAAAACATTAGTAACCGTAGTATAATTGCAACACTAAATTGTGAGATAACTGTGAGATTTATTTGTTTAAGACTGTGGCGAGGGACCTTTTCCAAACTGAGGAGCACATGTCCGTGATGGATGGGGACAGAAGAAAACGTGGCACAGCAACTGAT